CGACAGGAAGCACCTGGATGACATCACTGCAGCCAAACTCCCTCCTCTTCATCACAGCCCAGCACAGCTTCTGTCTTTAGAAGAGTCGGCCGCTCTTGTCAGAGAACAGACGAAGAAACAGCAGGTTGGTGCTGACTTTCTCTCAATAACTACAACTCCACAACTTTATCTGTTTGTTGTCTGCTGTTTTTTTTTTTTTTTTTTTTTTTATGATGCTGTTTCTTCACTTGTTCTCTAACAAACATCTCAGGTATTTGAAGAAGAGTCTAGAGCTGTATTTCTTTCATAAATTTGGCAACTTTCAAAGGCAATTGGTTGTGCTCAATTTTATTTGGGAGCATCAAAGTAAAAATGCTGAATAGAGGTTCATGCCATACTTTTCAGATTTGTAAAAAAAGACAAACAAGCAAAAAAAAAACAACAACCATGAATCCATTTGCTTTGAATATTATGACTATTCCTCTTTGAGTTGGTTTGAAACAAAATCGTGAATGTTTAAGGGGCATGAATACTTTAGCAAAGCACTGTAGTGGCTAATTCACATTTTGTTGTCGTTTATAATAGAGTTGGCTTTAGTTCTTTTCCATCACCAGTAGAGGGCAGCATCCAGTCGCTGGTTGTCACTGCCAGACTCCTGAGCCAAACTCCCGTGCTGCTGCTGCTGCTGCTTCTGGCTCTTTATCATTCATAGTTAAAGGTTTTAACACCACTAGCTTTGCTGCTGGTTCTCTGTTTACCAACCTTTTCATGTCAGCTGTCTTTCTGTGTTGGGGTTTATTTTCAGGAGCTGCAGGCCAAACTGGCTGCCCAGAAACTGTCTGAAGGACTGAAGATCTCTATGGGGAGCTACACTCCTGACGGCGGCCCCATGGCCACCTACAGAGAGGTTCACGATGAAGGAGCCCACCTCTCATCTGAGGAGGACTGATTTGGATGGACAGCTTGGGAAAACGGTGTAACCTTGGCCTCTGACGGAAAGAGGCTTTGGACCTCATGGTTCAGGGTTTCCCATTTCAAGACCAGAGAGAAAATCAGTCCTTCCTCACTGTGAATAGTTTTTCGCCGTCAAACACTGAAGGAAACTGATTGTCACTTAATTTATGTTGGGACCGGATGTTACAAAGTCTTGCCAGTATAAAAGTACATTGAAGTGACGAGGAGTCTTAAAATGATCAGTCTGGTGTGGTTCATGTGAAGCTTCAGCCTAACTGTGTTGAGGATTTCTTCAGCAGCAGGCACTATGCAACAATTAATTCACACCTTTATATGTTTTTCTCAGGCCTGAGGGCTACAAGATGTCAAACAAAACTTAATAAAGCTTAATTTTGAGCTTCTCACTGGATTTGTCTTTACTGATCTACAAGTACAAGAATGAATGAGGCATGTTTTGCTGCGTTTGTTTGTTTTCTTTCTTTATTTTCTGTCTTTATGAAACACATTTGCTCCGTTGAGGGGTTCTTAAAGTAGGTAGACTTGTTTAATCCTGTTAATTCATTTGTGTAGACATTTGTAGAACAGTTACAATTACAGTTTTTGTCTATCAATAATGTTTACTGCTCCACTATCCACTCCATAGGAGTGGAAAATTACGTAAAATTTACGAGTCAAACCTTTGAAGAGATTTAAAATAAGCTTATTGACAAATCTTGCTTCCGTGTGAGCAAAGTGAAAGTGCTCTTGGGCACCCCCTGCTGGACTGGGGGTCTATACGCTACCTTAGCTTTCTATTCTTTAGCTCTCAAATGTGATAAATCCTATTTATAGCAGTAAATATAACATATAGGTTCAGTTACATACCATTCAATTCAGGTATAAATGTAATTAATCAAATTCATTCAGTTGGTAAAATGTTATTTCTAAGGAAGCCCAGGTGGTTGACTTTTAAAAGTGATGTAAATGTCACTGATTTATTTGACTTCACCTTTAACTTGTATGTTAAACCTGAGAACACTAGTAGTGTAAAAATGATTTTCTAGCCCATTTCTCTTATAACTGAATGCATGTTATGACCTGCAGAAAGTCCCATCTAAAGAAAATACAGACCTCATAAACCACAGAGATGTGATTAACTACCACACTTGAGTTATGTGGAATAGTTCCTAGATGCAGATAAGGAAATGTCAAGGAAAATATATCAAAAAATCCTCCTCATTTATCACCTTCAGTCTGCAATTCCAGCATTTCTATAAATAAACAGCACTGAGATGGAAATCCAAGCGGTCAAATAATAGAAGAATAGTTTTTATTTGGATAAATTAAAAATATCAAATATATTTTAGCTTATTTAGGAGTGAGGAGGCGGGGGAGGGAGGCGGCTACCAATCAGCTCGCAGTAAAGCTGTGGTCAGCTGCAGGAACTTATATTTTGAAGCGCTGTGAGATGTTATCAGACAAGAATCCATCACACGCTTGATAAGATTAATGTGGGGTAGTGAGTTATTAAGGCTTGATGGCTGAGACATCTGGACTGCATTTGGATCATGTTTTCGCTGGGAATGGCAGGCGATGACGGGACGGCAGCAGGCTAATGGAATATGGCAAACCCCATTTCTCAGCTGCTAATATATGGTAGATAAGAAGTGCCAGCATCTTTCCAATCTGCCTTTCCTTTCCCGTCATCTGTCTCGCAGCTCTGCTAGCTTTCCATATTTAAAGGGCCTGAAATGGGGGTGTAATAAGGAGGAAATAAGGCGCTGAGGCACCTTTGGAGGGGAAGTGAGGGTGGGTTTCTGCAGGTCACAGTTTGGTGACAGATGCCCCTTGATAACCTCTACTAATTGTGGCTGAAGTAACGGCAGAAGATGTTTTGAAGAGAGAAGGGAAACAAGTAACGGCTGGGTATTTAGAAACTGTATCTGATGGGCCCACGGTGACGTCAGATGACGAATACGTGATCGCGCTCTGCAGAGGATCCTCTCTGCACTGGGATTAATTACACCATACCTTGCTTACATACACTTGCAGACTGTTCTCAATTATGGCGCATATTTCTGCCGCAGCCCTTCTCTGCGCTCTCTGGCATCGCACCGGTTTCTAAATATCTGTAGAGGTTGTGAGGTGGAACTTAGCAGACTCTTGTTTTTTTCTAACATTGGCCATTGATGAGGAGGTTGTTTATACTTCAGCTCAGATCCCAGACCCCTTGACTCAGATTAATAAGCTCCTCATGAAGTAGTCTGCAAGTGATTTGCTCCAACTCGGGGTCCGAAATCACACGTCCTGCGGGAGTAGAAATAATTTGCTGTTTGGGAGGGGAAACTGGAATGTGATTTCAAAACTTTGTCTTCAAAGAGCCGTCTGCTCAGCCTTAAATTAGATATACAGTATGATGTATAGACTGGCGTTTAATGCGAGTTAGACCCTCAGCACAATGATTTGATTATGTCTGCCAGGTTGCAAAGTCTGAGCTCATTGTTTTTCCATTCTCTGATGTTTGTGTCATATTTTTTCAGGGCATATAAGGAGATTAAATAATGCAGCGCACAGCAGCTTTCTGCAGAGATGATTACAGCCGATCTCCACCAAACCCAGCGCCTGCACACCCAGGTTAAATCATCAGATTTTTGTGAGTTGAAACATTTGATGATAATAATAATAAATGTGGTTTGGATTTACAGGGATGCTGACAAATAACTTCCCTCTTTATCTTCAGCTTTTTAGCAGACACATGACGATTTTAATCTAAACTGATCCGCATTTGGAGCTTTTTATTAGTTCATTCCAGATCATGATGCTGCCACCACCATGCTTCACTGTGAATGTGATGTTATGTTGATTTAACAATGTTGTTTTATTGTTTTTTACATTGTTTTAGCTAAGGGTGCTCCAATGTATCGGTCAGCTGAAGGCTTCCTTCATTTTAGGAGATCGGTGAGCATATCTGCATGTTTGGAGTTGACAGTAGTCACCACACTTTTACTAACTCAGTGACTTTCTTGCTAAATTCAGCAACTCTTCAGACAAAACTATTGGTACCTGCCATAATCGGAATCGGCAGGTTTGGCTTTTTAAAGATTGGTGAACAGAAATCGGTCAGAAAACTGCAGTCGGTGCACCTGGGATGTGCACTGAAAACGAGCTAAAACCATAAATGTAACAGTGTTCAGTGTTGGTTTGTACCTATAGAAATAGATAATAAATAAAGAAAGAAGGTGTTGTCTTTGTGTCAGACTTAGCTTTGTGTTGTCACATATAGAAAACAAGTTGTATTAATCAGAAACTTCTGAACTTCACTTCGTGTGAGTCTGACTCAGCCTGGAGAAACGTCCATCTTTAGTCATGTAAATGTTGTTTTACATGTTCTATAATCATGGATGACATGCTACACATGCAGTGATGTTTGTGTGCTCTTCTTCTGATGATGCATTTGTTTAATTAAATCATTTTAATTCTTGTAACCTCTCTTCCATCACTAAAGGATAAGATTAACCAGAGCAGCTGTGTGGTTCAGCAAAGTCTTTGTTTTTTATCGGTTTCCTGGAACATATTTTTGTTTGATTTTCAAACAAAAATATTATTTTTTTGTAATTATAATTATTAATACCATTTAAAAAAAACACTTTTTTACATGTCAAATATTAATTATGGCTGTGTGTAGACATTTTATAAACTGTGAAACTTGCTAAGTTAGAGATTTATTTACTTGGACGTGTTCCTCAATAAAAGCAAAACAAAGCAAAAAAGAACTGAAAGAAACTTGTTTGCTTCAGCATTACATTACAGCACTGAATATGTTGATGGGAAACAAAAAAAAAGAGCTTGTCGGTTTTAACTCATGCAAAATGAAAAAAAAAAAGATTCATATGCAAATGAGATGAGCTGCAAATGAGAAGCAAATATCTGTGACTTTGCGCTGGTAGGTGTCTGCGTTCTCTTGACAGGCCGACGAGAAAAGAAAATACTTTCCTGACAGGACGGAGGTGCCGGGCGCTCCAGTTATCTCACCGTGAAACAAGCGTGTGTGTGTGTGTGTGTGTGTGTGTGTGAGAGAGAGAGACGGTGAGCCAGCTCATAGTTCATGTCATGTTTGTTGGCTGCCTGAGGAAGCATGATATGTGGCTGCAACACTCACAAGGGTCCTGCAGCTGTCTCATAGAGAATGTGGACGGGAAAATAACGCCTGACTGCAGGGCTGATCTGTTAAGAAGAAGAAGATGGTGTTTGGAAGTGAGTGTTGGTTGTAACAATAGTCAGAGGGATGATTTATTTGGATTTTACGTTCTCAAGATGTTTGTAGCATCCATAAGGAGGCTAGACTGCTCAACGAGGATCTGCTCAGAGCTTTTCCTGAGGATGTTTTTGTTAAATGTGGCTCACAGACACTGAAATCAAGCCGGAATCTGATAATAATGTTTTGAGTTTAGCACTGATTGAAGTGCATTGAACTAATGATGAGGATATTGTTTCTGATCTGCAGATTAACTCCACAGTGTAAGCATCGATGCAGAGGATTTTCACCATTGATTCATAAAATACCACCAGCATGTAGCTCAGTACATATAAATGATTAACATGCGTTGCATAGAAATGGTGAGATCTTATATTAAAGTTTCAATGCCCTGAACTTATTTTATTTTTTATTTTACAGTGTAATATTTTATTAGCTCAATATGTCAAGTCTCAGTCCTGCTTCTCATGCCTCCAATTTCCTGAAATTAATCAACTATTAACTTCACATCCCGAAATGAAAAGACATATTAGGAAATCAAAGAAAAAAGCAATAACTCAAAATGCATTCTAACTTAAAGATACCATTACAAATGCAACGTCTGCGTTCTTGAGAACGTCCTCTTAGGATAGCAGTATTTCAGCAGCTGTTTATGATTTATGCATCTTTTCCTGAGAACAGTCTGTCTGGATGATCTTTCTTATCAGGTGGAAACTAACATCAGTTTTCCAAAAAGACGGCAGAAATGTGGATCCATCTGATTACAGAACATCAATATACAATCTGTCAAAACTAAAAACTAAAACACCTTTTTGCTTCAGTGCTGCTTTATAAATACTGAGTTGTTGAAGCAGGTTACTGACATTATAGAAAGACTAAAAACATTACAAATGTTGGAGATGACAAGTGTTACAATGGACAAGGATTTCCTCTGTGGAGAAGAATGGATCCATTCAAATTGATCAAGTAATATTTTCACCTGTGTTTCTTATTTTATTCACATTTAAACTTTTGTTTCTGGTCCGTTTGAGGTTGTGGTGATTTCTAACCAGTTACTTTACCCAGGTTTTTGGTTGTCAGTCTGACTGTCTTCCACCTTTTACATTATATTTTTATTATTTCAAATGTTGTTTTAACAGTACAGAGCCAGTTTTCTGCTCTGTAACACAACAAATGCTCTAAATCCTTCTGTTCATCTCCATCCTCTTATCATAACTGGGATTTAATAAGTGAAATAAATAACAAATTATTATTTTAGTTACTTTTGTGTCTCAGATAAACACATCTGTTTGTAATAGAGTGATAAAATACACATGTTATTTCACTAAACATGCGCTGCTAGTTTTTTTTTATAACTTTGGACTGTTTTTTCTCCCCATTAGGTTTTTTTTTTGCCAAATAATTAGCAGGTTTAATGTAAAAGTAGTTAAAAAACCCACAGTATTTCTGTAGGACTCAAATGTCACAACACATGCGTTATGTTTCTTTTTTCTTGGAATAATGTTTACAGTGGAGAAGCCATAAAACTCACCACAAATGGAAAAGGCATGGTGTGGCTGTAATGAGTTATCCATGTTGCTGCTCTGCAGGCGCAGTACCCTCAGGTCACCACAGGATGGCAGTGGCGGATTTTCTGTCTGCTTTTGTTTGTCACGTTGACGCCGTGGTTTACTTTTAAAAACCCACCAAGTTCTGAGAATTAACTAAGTAGTTACACATTTTATCAAAGCCGAGGAGCAAATGTGAGTCCAGAACCGTTTGGGGATTCTGAATGATCCACATCTGTTTGAGCCAAATTCACCTCTTGATTCCAGGTAACGAGCCTCAGGGATGGGGATCCTTTTCCAGGACGGGCTCCAGCCTTTCCATCCGTCACAGAGCAGATAAGAGCTCACAGTCTGAACCCGTGTCTCTCACCATGACGGGAGATCGTACAAATATGATCTGGACACATGTGTGCTTGACAGCCCTCCCACACTCTCTGCTTGGCCAGCTTTGCATAACAATCCTGAGGCCCTAGGAAGAAAGGATGGAGAAAGTGAGGAGGAGGAGGAGGAGGGGTGAAATGGGTTGAGGCCCGTGATGCGGAGCGTGGGCCAAGAAGCTGCCAGGATCCCAGCCGCTCCATGTCTGCCCTGGCACAGTATTAAGCAGGCTGTTTTGGGGCCTGTCAAAAGCTCATCACGGCAAGGAAGCCGTCTCTGTGGGGGGGAGGCGGGGCTGCCAGGGCCTGGCAGGGGGCAGAAACCAGAGAGCCGGCCTGGCAGCCTGCTCATACGGACCAGCATCACTCTTATTCTTGTACTCTCATTAATGTTACAACAATGAACTCACATCCAACTTCTTTTAAACGTTTTTTGCACTCCACTTTCGGTTGATGTGCTCTCTTCATCTTGGGTTTTGTGGTCTGTAAGTGACGGGGCCTTTTTAAGAAGCATCTCCTCTGTAAAATTCAACACCAAGCCTGTCGCGACAACAGCGTCTGCTACATGATGAATTATAGGATTGTTGTTTTGAGACCATTTTCAAGTAATACCGTGGATATGGCATAATAATGCAGGAGCACATTCTCAAAGATCAATAGACTTTAAATGTTATTTAATATTTAACCCTGGAGGTGGAAGACATTTTAAATATGCAAAATAAATAAACAAAACAGCATGAACATGAAGTCTTTGGGCAGACCTAAGATTTTTGTTCAGTTTTTGGTAGAAAAAGAGAAAATCGATAAATCATGCAAATGAAAAGTTAATTAATCATGCCATTAATTGATCTACTGATTATTGCGACAGGCCTACACAACAGCTCACAATCCGTTTCTATAAGCTTTTATGTTTTAATATTGTCCAACATGAGCCAAAGTGTAAGAAAATGTTGAGAGCGCTCAGATTTATAGAGAACAGGTCTGTGAATGCACCACTTGTAAACATACTAAGGAAAATGTTTCACACTATAAATGTCCGTGGATCAATAAGTAAGGTCATTTTTCTTAAAATGCACCTAAATGTTGCCTGTTGTCCAGAATGGGATTATTTTTATTTCAATCTGCCCAGACAAAGTTGTCAGAAACTGAAAAACTTGATGTTTTTTTCAGTCAGTGAACCCAACAGGCTGCGGTAGTAACACTCACCTCAAAGTTACGCTGTGAGAAAGAGACTCAAACTAAACTGTGTTGACATTTAAAAAAGAAAACGACACACCGGGACAAGTTGAAACATGTACGCTGCAAGAGAGTGAGAGAAAGCAAGACTTCCAGCGTAAACTTTCAGAGTAAAGCAAACGTTCCCTGTTTTATGCTTCTGAGGTTTTAGTCTCTGGATTTGGGCAAGTTTCACTTCACTTTGTCACTTGGTGGATTTAAGCAGCAGACTGTGTTTGTGTTTGCGCTCAGCTACGTTTGGTGTTATCCAGGGAGTATCGCAGTTACAGTTAACGCAAACTTGCGTGGGAGAGTCCCAGTTACAAAACACTAGAAATTTACGTTGAATTCAGTATTTCGGTTTTGTTTTCCTGAAAATACTCAAACACACTGGCCAGATCCTGCACAAGCTTCAATCTGCACACTAAAAACCTGCTCTAGTAAGACTTTATTTCCCATACAAGCGTTTCACATCTGTGCAGTGTCAGCGCTGTGTAGATCTTTGAGAAGGAACTTTCTATTTGTTTTGCAAAATTATGATCATAAAGCCTGCGTTGGGCGTTTCAAATTGGCCCGGGGTCTAATGTGCTACAACAACAGTAAAACTACGCAATAAAAACACAACAATCTGAAATCCTCCTCTGTCCAACAATTATGGGGGCTATATGGAGCGGCTGGCTCGTTCCTGAGCTGTAATGTTGTGACCATTCCAAGCCCTGAGGCCAGGTGTTTTTGATTGCAATATAGCATGTTGGAGTGCACACTCTGCAGAACAGCTCTGGATTTCTGATAAACCAGATGAGACTGAGTGGGAGTGGGAGGCCCGTATTTATTCATTAACGTTCTGTTTTCTCAGAGACAGAGCCCGACGGAGAGACAGGCAGCTACACCCTCTTCTAAGATGACTTCCTTTGCTGAGTAACTACATTCCAGCTGATATACAACATTTCAGTGAGCAAAGTGTTTTTGGGGTAAACACCTACAGACACAGACAGATTTTACAGTTTAAAGAGGCAACGAGTGAGCGTAGAAGAAAAAGAGACAACAATTACTTCACTTTTATTCCACCAAACCTTTCTTGTTGTGGATGTTCTGCAGCTGTTTCTGAGACGTTTCTTGAAAGGAAACTTTCATAACACAGAAATACAAAAAAGTGTTGACATTTGTGAATATATGCAGCTCTGGTAAAAACTAAGAGTCCACTGCTCTGAACCTGATTGAAAACCTCGTCGTTATTCCACCAAATACTGATTTCTGAACTCTTCCTGAGTTAAAACATCAGTATTGTTTCTACGTGAATATCAACTTGTTTTCTTTGCTTTATTTGAAGTATGAAAGCGCTGCAACTTTTTCGTTATTTTCTGCAAATACTAAATCTTTGCTTGGAATTTCAGTAGTCCATAGAATAAAAGAACAATGTTCATTTTACTCAAACTTATCTACAAAAAGTAAAATCAGAGAAACGGATCATTTTAAATGGTCTCTTAATTTTTTCTGGAGCTGTACGTAAAACTCAGTCATGAAAATTTCAGTCTTTGCTGCTGTAACGATGAGTTCAGTTACAGCTGAATAAGCTGAAAAGGTCATAACTCCTGTTTTTTTATTTTGAAAGCAAGTGACAGAATACGTCAGGGGAAATACGTCATTTTGCTGGTGCCTTTAACCAATCATTATTGCTCCCAGTTTTCCAGTGGTAAATGTGACTTCCAGTTGAATTTCCCAGCTCAGAGGAGAACCTGAACGCAGCATAAGCTACATCTTTGATGTTGACCATTTGGAGTTGAAAACAAGAGAAGAAGGAGCGCATTAAAGCAGGGCGATGTTAGGATGCTGTTACACATGGGAGTAAAACAACTTAACATACTGACAGGCAGGAGTGGCCTTTAAACAAAACAAAAAATAAAATGCACTTTCCACATATCTGATCACATTACTGTCAAATAACAAAACTCAAAACATCTACACCCAGCTTAAGTTTCCCTTAGCCATAACAAGAGTAATGTATTTGCAGGACCCGGCAGTGGAGTCTAATTCCTGCAGTGTGTGTACTGTCATCTCCGCAGTCCCTAAGCTAAACTCATAAAAGCTGTCTTCCTGTTCTTTCTTAGCTGTCAGCACAGAGCATAACAACATGACAAAAATGGTCATGACCAATGAAGAATTTATTAAACTCTGACAAGCATTTACAAGCTGCATCTGGTCCTGATTCTCATGTGTATACATCTCTGTGTCAGCCCCTGCAGGTGCCACTGCGCTGGTTAGCAGGCCGGTTCTGGATGCACTGCAGACTGCATAAAGAGAGCGCGCTCACGTCGGCCTCCTGCACGCCTTCTCTAGATAATAGTAAGGTGATGACGGCTGAGCAACTGCGGCATCTACCGTAATTCCTTTCAAAGCTTATTATTAACGAGAACAAAGTATTCCAGGGGAAATACAGTGCCTATAAAAGTACTAATCCCCTTGGATGTTTTACCCTTTTATTACTTTTGCAAATCAATCATGATCAAAAGAAATTACAAAAAAAAAAACTCTTTAATGTCAAAATGGAAACTGATTTCTATAAAAATAATGACAACTAATATATGTCTCAATCAGAGTGTGACTTCCTAAACTCACACTCTTAGTTACTAAACATTTCAAGGATTTAATAGCAACAGATTTAATAAAGAAGTGTGTTTAGTCTATCTAATATTTACGACACAAAGTGCCTCCCTGAATGAAGTGATAGTCGTATGTAAGAGCCCATGACTGGTGTGTTTATTCAGCTGAATCTGTGAGCGCTCTCTTCATTAATCTCCCGACAGATGCATTGATGCGCCGCAGCCTTTCACCTGTGCACATGGTAAAAGTGATGTATTTAAGGTCTGACACATGCTGGGAAAAAGCAGTGAACATAACGTGACTCAGCTGCGTAATTCTCTTTGTTGTTTTGAAATAACCACTACAAAGCCAGGACTCTTTTTGATGTGGTTTTCTTATTATTTTGCTTCTCTGTAACTTACAGAAATGTCTGCAGTGTAATTTCTCTTAAGCGGGGTTTTTAAGGACTACATGTGAGGTAAAAAAAAAAAAAAATTTTAAAGGGAAAGATGCAGTGTTGTGTGTTAAACTGTCCTCCTGCTGATTATATCCAGGTTTGATACCCTCTATGCTTTGGAGGAGTAAAAACTGATGAGAAAGTTTATAAATTAAAGCGCAAATTTCAAGTATTTCTTCGGATTAATCTAGAATAAGTAACAGTAAATACTTTTATAAGTCATAATATGTACAAATGTTCATTCTTATTACTACTTAGCGTATAAAACGCCTTCAGTTTGAAACTTCACCTGCAGGAACTGTTCACTTCAAGGTGAGCTCGCCATAACGTTTAGCTCAGGAATGTCAAACTCATTTTGGGCCGTGTCAAAGATCTGAATGTTCTTAAAGGGCCGGTTGTGCCAGAACGTTTTAATAAAACCCATTTAACTGTTAAAATATCAATTAATCCCAGTCCTTCCAGGATTTTGTGATTGTTTTTAAGATTTTTGTAATCAAAATCACATATTTTTGGATGCTAATTTTGTGCTAATGAATGATGGTAAAAGTGGCTTTTTATTACTTGACATATTGATCACGGACTATAACTTGACATCGAGTAAGGCTGAGGCAGCAGTCAATTAAACCCAATGGTTTTGACCGATTTAGAGAAACATTTGCGGCGACACTTTACTTGACGGGGTGTGCATAATGCATAATACATGACATAACATCTGTTATGAACATGAAGGAGTCTTTATGAATGTCTGTGACTGTTGTCATGAAGCGTAATTCGGTAAACAATGATACTTTTAATGCAAAGTTGCTCTAAAAGTTGCATTGAAAGTCTGTTAGAACTTTCAATGCATTAAAGTTTCATTATTTACAAAATAATACAGAGTTGGCACTTTTAATGGACTTTTAATGCAACTTTGCATTAAAAGTATCATTATTTACCAAATGACACTTCATGACAACAGTCATAGACATTCATGTTCTTGACAGGTGTTATGTCAGTCTCATGCACACCCTGTCAAATTAAGTGTTACCAAATTTGCAGTAAAATCTGAAAAAATATGGGGATTTGCTGACTTTGTGTGGATTTGTGAAAAACTGGAGGGACTTACTGATGTAATTTGGAGTCCAGAGGGCCACATAAAAAGCTACGGTGGGCCAGATTTGGCCCCCGGGCCTCGAGTTTGACACATGTGTTTTAGATGCAGACAAAGCAGCTTCTTTTTCCCACTGGTGGGATCTGCAGGATGTGATGGCTTTTATGACCTCGGCGTTTTATGTTCAACAAAGGTTTTGTCAGAAATCCTGCCAAACTACGTATTACACTATTTATTAAAGTTCTCTCATGTGAATTATCTTATTTTGGTTCATTTCAAAGTTCAGGAACCTTTGAAGTAATTTATGATTACGCCAAACCCTGAAAATGATTTTGGCTTTTTGTTCAATGGAATAACTGAATGCTTGAGATCTTGTGTCATGAAAAAAATATTTTATTTTTGATATTTTTGGCCTAAAGAATTTGGTTTGAAGTAAATCAGAGCTGTGTAAACTTTATGGAGCCACAACTGTGAAGTTAAAAGTAGCAGTGGGTCACAAAATGTTATCTCTTTTGTTATTAAAAATACAAAAACAATTATTTTGTAAAAACAAATGAGATGTGCAGTATTGTAATGAAATGTACTAGCCTGATAAATCATTTTAGATCTATTCTAGGCTACAAATAACACTAGACTCTTTTTTAAAATGTTTTTTTTTGGTCTATTTCAATAAATTTTACTTTCAAGTAAAAGTTACTTGATGTTTCTAGTGCTATATACTGTTAAATTTAAATGAAATGAAAAAATGTGGCTGTTAAAAGAAATAGTTTATAACTTTTGCTTGTGTTTTCTTTTTAAATATTGTTTTAATTCTTTCCTTTTCCTTCCTTTTGTTCAGAGAAAATTAAATTTTAGGTTTTTTTTAGGCGTTTCACCATCAACAGTCTGGTGAAATAAATTATTTTTGAATCGTGGACACGGGCCGCACAGAATCAATTCAAGGGTCGCAAAAGGCCCCCGGGCTGCACTTTGGACACCCATGGAGTTAATGATAGAATATAGTGGCACAGAAACATTTTACTTTGGTGCTGCTTTGTGACAGAGCCTGTAGTGAATTTTGATAAAAAAATGTATGGGTGGTTGCCCAGGACGGCATTTGAAAGGGGTGGCACAAACCAATCAATGATTAAACTTATTTCTTGTTGCCTTACTTGTTTCCTGAACAAGTGTTCTGGTGTTTTTATTCATGTGCAGGCAATAAAAAGTTGGCACTCCATATATTTCCAATGCGCTGCTGATTATTACATGATAAAGGCGTGTTTGTTGTCCCACAGGAAGTAAAGCACAAGTTATTCTGTGAATTCTTCTTTTTCTTGTGCTAGCATGACTGAGCAATAGCTCTAGTTACGCTCAACTAGCAAATTTGAAGGAATGATGCATTCACAAACTGGGAAAATTTCTGTGGATGTTTGTATTATGCAAGCAACCATGAAAGGAAGATAATAGTTGTGGGAGTAATGGCAGAAGGAAGGTGTTAGCCAGGGTGGCGTCCATGCAGGAACCACCACTATAAATAAGACTGTACGTCATCAGGAGTCCACCTACGTTTGTGTAACCCTGTCCGTGTGAGATGGACCTCTCTTCTACCGAATACTCTGCTTTGTGTTTTAAGGGTGTTGGAATGAAGTTTGAGGCGGGAGGAGCCAGACACACGGAGGTTAAAGCCGTGGTTCCGACCGTTACGTTTATTCGGCTCACCTTCTGAGCCACAAACCAACACTACGTGTTAACATAACTTCCTTTAATTTTTCCAAACACAGTACAGATTAAAAAAACTAAGAAAAACTACACAGAACTAAAGACTCAGTCATTAAACCTGATATTTGGCTGTAGTGAGGAGCTAACGGTCAGTGTTGCTAACCCTCCAAACCACAAGCAAACTCTGACCGTTACGGAACACCGGCTCCCCGTAGTAGAAGCCAAAGTACGGTGTTCATTAAAGGACATACCACACCAACTGCCAGAACCCAAAGAACAATCTTGGGGCTTCTGCTGACTAAGACACTACCCTACATTTGACTGGACTACAGGTAAGAGATTCTGATAGAAACTCTTTGTTTTGTTTTCTGTCCACACCTTGGGCACCAACCCAGCTCTGAAGTGAGAAACCACCAAACAAGAGTATGAATTATTGTCCTGTTTTGGTATCTTAAGGACTTATTTAATCTAATTCAAGGACAATTAGTTTGGTGTTCATCCTAAATAAGACTTGATCTTTAGAAGAATACACAAATGACTGAGATCTCTCAAAGAATGAAAACAAATCCTCCTTCAAAACAGATTTTTGACAGATCCGTAGACTAATTTATTTATTAACATTAAGATCATTTAATGCAACTTAAATTTTTTGTGCCTCGAGGGATGCGTTTTAATTTTTCCCACAAATATTTTAAAAATCTAGCTTATCACATTTTAAACGGTTAGTAAAAAACAAGAGCCTCTGCCAATTAAATGTGGCAATTACTAGAAACTGTTAATTTAAAATGATTTCTTAAGAGATTATTTTTTCTTTTGGTGTATCTGATAGTCGCATGTATATTCGACTATCAGATACACCTGTTTTTGCTTTTTGTTTGGAAAGGGTTTCAGTCAAAATGGCTAAAAGTGAAGATGTTGTCAGCATTTTTGGTAATTTTCAATCAGTTTATGAGGGCTAAAAATATCCACACAAAACCTTTCTAAAAACTGCCATCTTTTCACTGATTATTTTAATGTAGCTATTGTTGTGTTGTTAATTCATAACATAATTGTGTGCAGAAGGTTTGCTTTAAATTAAAGCAAACCTCAGACTTACCCTGTGTAATTGCCGTGGGGATCTGGTTACCGTTTGGCCAAGCAGGATTCGTGCTCACCACCAGTCTGCCATACCTCATATAACACCTCAAAGTGGGTTTGGACTCGGGCTGCAAGGTAATTGTAATTTTAACTATGTTGTCTAAGTGGGATGAAAGCAGGCCAGGCCGTCTGAACTCTCATTTTACGTCAGACTTGCATTTTAAGTGAGGCTGGTACGTGCTTGGAACAGCTCTAGACCATAAACAAGAGATCCAGCAAGCTGCAGTTTCATTTCGACAGCACACCAGAGTGTCTGAAGCAATTATATTTCTTCCCTGCCTTGGTGGAAATTTAAAATAGGAACACACCTTTGTGGTTATTAAATAAGAGAGTGATATTGTTTACTATGGAAAAGGTTTCTGAGCTGTCAGATTGTTCCTCAGTGTTATCTTTTTGACATAGAAATGGGAAATATTACAGTCGGTAATTTTGTCCATTATCCTGATGCAACATGGAAACATTCATCATTCTCTTGTTATTCGGAAGATGTTTCTCACAGCATTTTGAGCGGCGAGAACATTAATGCTGGCTGTTTCTCATGTGGTCGCTCCTCTGCCAGGCCCAGGCCTCTACTATTGTGCATATTTGGCTCCTTTCATGGCTTACTGGGCCACCGAAATGGGATAGGGCCATCATTAACGTTATTAGTTACACCTGACAGGTCAAACTTACTGCTGTGGTAAACATCTATATTAGAAGATGTCTTTCCATAATTAAATGAAAAAGCTAGAAAGAGATTTGCTCATCCTTGTTTAAGACACAAAATACTGAAAAAACTAATAGGTGCTTCAAATAAAAGTAATTTTATTTATAAGTCACTGCAGAGTTGAGTAGTAACTAGTTACAATTATGCTTGAGTAACTTTTTTGAAAAAATTTACTTTTAGGATTTTCTTTTCTACGTTGTACTTTTTACTTTTACTTGAAAATTTTTTTTATTAAATAATTTTTTTGATTTTCTACCAATGAATGAAAACCAAACATGTTTTAATCAAAAATTCTCCAGGCACAGACACATATCTGCAGTTTCTGTTAAAGTTTTTAAGTATTTTTTATTGAATGAAACTAATTTGGAAACATTTTCTTTTGCCTTTGCTATAATTATTGTCAGTTTCATCCTTAAAATACCTAAATTTCCACTAACTTTACAATTTGGTCCATCTGAGGATGTAATTTTTAAAGATTAAATGACCGACAATTTGGTCAGTTACTCAGTTCTTGAGACAAAAATCCGTAAAACAAGGTTTTTATGAGACAGATTGGATACCTGGCCTCAGTAATACATCCCTGCATTCAGAAAACTCTAATCTGAACCTAAAGTTTCCTCGTTAGCGATGGAGTTTTCTCTCAGAGGCCTCTGATCTCGTTGTGATACCTGTGTAAAAAAAAAACTATGAAGGTTTGTTGGCAAACTGCAGGAAATGTACAGATCAAAGTGATGACATCACGTTTTGAATTGCACTGAAGTCAAATTAAAACCATATGATAGGTGGATGCAATTTTCCCATTTTCCATTTGGAGCTTTAACCTGCCGAAGTATTGGACGCAGTGTGGAGCACTTAAGAGTAATTTGTTGGGCGGATTACAAACGCAGATCCATCATCAATCATCATGCAACATAGACAAACATATTTATTAGAATTTTAAAACCATGTAATCCATGTTGACAAACAGTGTGACTGAATCCAAGAAAAAAAAAAAAATCAACCCAGATAGGAAAAGTGTATTTTATTTAAAAAAAACAAAAACAAAACGTTAAATTGCTACAGAGAGAAGAGTGACTAAATATGCATCAATTCATAAATGCAACTTTTAATTTTCTTTTTGAATCAATGAAATGCTGTTCTATGAGGAAAGGGGATTTAAGTGTAACCTTTTATTCCTCATTGAACAAGCTAGCTATACAAAACATGTTCATTATATTTTTTTTGAACAAAATCTGTCAGTTCTGCCTATTTTAGGGCCTCTTGTCACTTTAAATCTAAATAAGCTGCTGTTGGTCACGCGCACATGACAATGGCTGCAATTACACAACCGTACATCTTTGAAAAGCATCAGTGGAGCCTCCAGCAGCAAGTGGTTTCTGAATGGTAAGTCAACAACAAAACACTTTGTCTTTTCCAGAAGCTTCTGCTTGAGTTGCTAGGCAACGGGGCGGGGCTTTGCTGGGGTTGCTAGGTAACGGGACAGCGCCTGCTGATTTGTTACATTCCGAAGGTTATCAGACACTAGAGAATATTATTGCCAGAAGTTGTCTCTGTGTTTTTTTTTAAACACTTGTGCTGTTTTTAGAAGCCAAATCTATACCCAAATGAAAGTACAAAAATCATGCAAAACGTAAATTTTGCACAAAACATCGCCTTTAAAGTAAATTAATGGTTCTGAAACCTTTGACAAACTGAAACTATGCACATCATTTTAGAAAAGCTATGGCAAAACTCCACGTACTTTTGTTTCAGCCCTCTGGAGGACAACCTCTGGTCCGGCCCGGCACTGGTACTACAAGGCCTTCACACTAAACAGAAAACAAATACTGTAGCCATAAAGGACCTGGCAAAAGGAGAGCAGCAGCTGCGGCTGCGTCTGTGGCCCAAAGTCCTTTGAGAGTATTCTTTAATCCTGACACCTGCAAGCCATTTTATCATGATTTACAGTGGAGGGGCGGGGGGTAAATGCTGGCTGGGGGCAGAGGGGGCGACCAGAGGAACTGTTTTCACAACAACTGATGCAAAACACAGCGCTGCTCCGGCCAGGGATTTGTAGTTTGTTGTGCAGAACGATAACATGTTGAATTTAATTTGAGCAGGAAAGCTTTGATAGAAAGTCCTGCTCTGATTTACAGACAAGTGGTCTGAGAGAGCAGAAGAGCTAATGAATGAATGAATGTTTTTTTTGTGTCTCTGTGTGAAACCAGCTGAAGATAAATTGGCCGGAGGTTTTGGGACAGGATAGGGAATTCACTTAAATGATCATTAGCGGGATCTCTGAAGGCCAGTTTAAAGTCGCTCAGCTGCTCAGCCATCACGCCTTGATGCTGCGCTGTCGTTCACATCCATTCACCGCCGCGTGCATCATTACTTTTGTGTGTGTGTGTGAGTTCACCACATGCTGGATTACTTTGGGCTTGGACATGCTGAATCTGTTTCTGTGTCATGTAGCAGCTGTAATTGCCTGTGACAAACAGTCCTCGTTTGTGGTGCAGCTGAATCTAAGTTGGTGAGTTTTTTTTTTTTTAAAGCGCATCTTGCTCGGATCAGAAACAAAGGTTACAGTGCAAATTATAGGGATGACACTGGAGATCACAATTCAAAACAAAAAAAGATAAATTCAGAATGAACTCATGTCTTCAATTCTGAATGAATCCTTTTTTTTTTACCCTCAGATATGTTTCATTTAGACGCTGAAGCCAGGAATGAGCTGAATTTGCTGGTTCTGACGTGTTTTTCTTATCAGATTTCTCAAACTCCCCTGCTCCAAAAACGCACTTATTCAGCTCCAAAAATACCACATTCAGTTTAGCTAAGAAACTAAGTCGTTGTCTGCTGCAATTAGCAAGACCTTCTGAGAAGTATAGCTTTTCATTTCAGTGAGCAGAATGATCAAAACGTTGGATTAAAAACCGTCAGCAACAGATTTTTTTAAAAAGCTGAAGTGTCTGGAAACTGAGCAGAAGGAAAAATCACACTTTAAAACCTGGTTTACATTGTCCTTTAAATTTTTACAAGAGAAATCACACTGCAGTGGTCTCTCTTAAAATTTAAACTTCCTGCCTGTTCTGGGAAACTAAACATGTTTTGTTTTGGCATTTGAAAGCTGGACTCTACCTCTGTTTCCTCGTCTGTGGCGAAAACACATGGCTTAGGGTTTATCCAGTATATAGTAAATAATAAAAGTGCTGTATTGTAAAGAAAATTTATTCTAAAAGGGGACCATGTCCAACAGCCTGAAATCATAATACTCCTGGTAAAGATGTGCAAATACTCTTAAAATTAATCCTTTATTTTAGTTGTATAACATCATCGAATATGAGCCAAAGCCCTCTTTTATTCTCAGTTTGAATACATTTTCAGTGAGTTTAACAAAAATAATCACTGCTGCACTAGTACTTCTAAGAGTTCCTATTAATTTAATGTATTTGAAGTGATGTGTAAGAAGATTTAATTTGGCGTTTCTTTAGTAATGACTTCACAAACAAGACAATTTTTCTAGCCTTTCTTCAAAATACAAAAAACATCTTTCACGTATGGCAGGCATGCCATGAATTTTAAAAATCAGGGAATAACTACACGATAACTACTCACCTGAACCTGTCCATGTCAATATTCAAAGCAACAATAAAAAAAGTTTAAAACTAGTTTAACTTTGAGAAAAAATGTTAGTGAAAAAATAATGACTCCATTAGCAGTCAGTCTTGCAACAAATCTAAAGAGGCCTCTGACTGAAGACAATTCCTGTCATGGTAACGCCTCAATTTCTGGGCAGCAGCGAGCACAATAACATATAACAGTAACATGTTCTGAATGATACAGTCAGTTGTTGGGAAACACAGCTAATCCACTCCATTTGTTTTTGCTACCCCTCTTCAAATCTCTGAACGGTTATAAAGTCGAGCGGAGAGACATTAGAGTTTGGGATTTGATCCTTGACCACCGTGATCGATGGAAGAGACCGTTTGAACTCCTTGCTTCTCTCTGCTCTCTGGTCCATGAGGCCTCCATCTCAACTCCTCTGGGATTCGGGGTCAGAGTTCAGCTATTATTTGATCTTTTTAGATGCTAATCAGCTGCTCTCAGTTGTAAAAACAATACCTTGTTGCCACGGTTCTGCATCATAGCAACTGTCAAAAAATAAAAAATAAGAGCAGAAATCCTTCCAGCTGCACAGCTTTCAAACCCAGAGGGAATAATTGTCCAAAAGTTAATACCATAAATAAATAAAATACGAACCGAAGTTTACAAAGAGAACAAACTACAACCGATCTTTTTGCAAAACCATTTTCCCAATTAGAATTGAGTTTTTCCCAAGCATAATTTTCATTTATTCTTTTTTACAATATGTAACATTTCTTAAATGTCCTTAAATTTTATTGAAGATTTCTTAAAAATATAACTGGCTTCCCAATCCGACCTTAAATGCTCATGTAGAACTGTCCTATTATTTATCGTACTTTCCATTAAAGCTGTCAGATTTTTGTAATGTTTAACTGGAAATTGTTGTTCACTGGTTGCAAATCTTTATTGAAAGCTCATTGAGAAACTTCACTAAGGTACAGAAAAAGACTCTGTAGGTGAGTTGCTCTAAATGATACATCAATATTTATTAAAATGATACAGTACTCCAGAAGTCGATATGATGTACGTAATCAAATGTTGTGCATAGTGTATTTTAGCACAATTAGATGCATTTTGACACTTTTTATATTTGCTGGAAAAATAAATTCAGAGATGGGAGGAGATCTGGTTGCATAATGAAACTTTTCTCTTAAAGCAAACTGGTGCAGTAAGTTATGTTGGGAGGAAAATGACACCAATATTATCCAGATCTGGACTTTTCAGCTCATCATAATGACTCAGCGTTTTCTATGCGTGTTGCTCAAGCTGTGACCTTTTCTGTTTCCTCCTCTGAGCTTTTGCACCAGATGAGTCAAACACACACATATTCTTTTGACCTTTATTTATACAGGTTGCCTCATTGAGATCCAATATCCTATTTGCATGAGAGACATATAAATTCCTTGCAAAAGTATTCATACACTCGGATGTTTTACCCTTTTTATTTCTTTAACGTATGAACAAAATGTTACTTTTTTAAAAATAGAAATTTACAAAAAAAAATGTCTTTAATGTGAAAGTCAAAACAGATTTCTACAAAAGAAGGGCAATTAAAGACAGGTATTTATGTCAAAATAAGTGACTGACCTAATTTAACAGAGGTCCAGCCAATTGGTGCCAGTAATCTCACAATAATGGAGATAAGGGACAAAACAAGTATAAAAACAAGTGTGTCTGGTCTATCAGTGCTCCTGGCTACCATTAAAGCATGAGGACTCCAAGATAATCAAGGAAAAGGTTATTGAAAAGCATAAGTCAGGGGATGGATACAAAAAAAAATCATGCTGTCCTCACAAACTGAGTAACTGTTGAAGAAGAAAACTCATATCAAAGCTTAGAAAGTTCTTTTTTGAGATGAAAATGTTGTCTTTGGCCATCAGACAAGACACCCAACAACTCCACATCACCACAAACACACCATCCCCACTGTGAAGCATGGTGGTGGCAGCATCATGCTGTGGGGGGATGGTTCTTAGTAGTTGGTCTTGGAGGACTTGTGAAGGGAGAAGATAAAATGATTGCAGTGAAATATGCATTTTCTAGC